CACAAAAAAATTAGCTTAAAGGTAAAAACATTTATTTTTTATTCCACTTTACAACGTATCTTTTATAATTTTTCACCCTCTGAAATATTCCATAATTATTTTGAAGCCGGGCCATTTTTTTTTAATTATTTTTTTTTTTTACTTTTAATTTTCTATTTAATTTTGGTTTTTCTATTTTTAATCTCATTATATTTACACTTTAAAAACGTTTTTGTCAAAGAAAAGAGGGGAAAAAAATGTATTGAAGATTTTTCCTCAGTTCAAGCACGCTAGATAGAATTGATGGAATTTATAAACCTATAAAAGTTAAATAGGAAGGTGTTTGATTAAAAAAAAAAAGCATCGATAAAATAAAAAAGAAGAAATTAATAGGGCAGTGTCTGAGAATGAAGAAACTGAGAATTAAAATTTCCTTTTTACTGATTTTGTATTCATGGAATAGATGAAATGAATTGAATCACGTGGTGGTTTCTATGGCGACGCTATTTTGAAGAGTAAACTGAAATAAGCTTGAAATAAGGAAACAATGAAAGGTTTAAATGACGTACACATTTACTGAAACAGAATGGTGTTGCAATATTAAAATATGCACGACGGGCCTTTAGTAGCTGCGGTAGGCTACATAAAGTTTGCCCTGCAAGTAAATGGGGTTTTCGGCAAAGGTGATGCTTCCTAGTGTAGTGGGTTCTTTAGAAGCAATTGATTCTCTTGGACCTCGGACTTGACTACGTTGACTGTCTGCACATAACGTTTGGATTCATCTTGAGTTCCTCTACTTTCTGTTACGTATTTCCTTGTATGTTGCTTCCACCTTTGTTGCAGACATTATAACCCCCCTCCCCAAGATTTCATGTATTTTTGGATTTCACACGTATCAGTTTTATTTCATAGTAACTTTTATTGATATAATTATTTAGATTTCGTCAAGATCTTCCCAATGAGCTCTTGGTCATTTCCGTAGCACGCCTTTATCCAGAGATATAACAGCGGGAACTGAGCATGTGGTGCCGAATTCAAAGCCACATCCCTTTTCTTTTCCCTCTCCCTTCTACATCGCTCTTCCTTCCCCTTGAATGTTTCCTTTACATGATGACATATTTAATTATTCCAAATTATTTATAATTTTGTAGTTATTGACATTTCGAATTGTACATCAAAACATAACTCACGAATCTTGAACCTACACATGCCCACGTGTTTTACAGATGTTGTCACAACAAGAAATTGTGCATAAAGTGAAACACGAAATATAACTGTGTTTCCAAAACGAAAAGAAAAAATCAATAACCGCATAATTCTCGCAGCAAATCGAGGTGTATTGCTGTATTTTTTTTTATTTGATTTTATATTATTTCCTTATTTATTTATTATTTTTTTTTTTTGTCAATTAGTATTTTTTTTTTCCCTTCCCTATAATTTTTATCCCCAAAAAAAAAATCCATTTTCCCTATTGAAGTGCTTTGAAAATGAAGTGATAATACACCGTTGCATCAGTTGACATTTCGAACTGAACATAAAAACATAAGGCACCCAACCTGAACTGGCTACCCATGCCCACCTGTTTTATAGATTTCCACATCACAAAAATTGCGCGTAAAAGGAAACACGAAATATAGCTGTGCTTCTAAAACAAAAAGAAAAAAAAAAAAAAATCAAGAACCTCATAACTCTCGCAGCAAGTCGAGGTATTGCTGTATTTTCTTTCTTTCGAAATACTTGTTTGTTGTCGCCTATTAGTTATTTTATTCCCCCTTCCCAATAATTTTTATCCCCAAAATACCCATTTCCCCCTGTTCAAATGCGTTCAAAACAAAGTGCTAATAGTACACCGTTGCATGGATTGCGCGCAATGAGGCGCCGGTCGCACTTGTCGTCTCCTCCGTGGGTGCGAGGTGAAGGTTCCGGTGGGCGCGAACAGGTGGGCGCACGGAGGGTGGGCGGAGGTTGGGTGGAGAACCTCTGCCCACTGATCCCCACCACCAGGCATTCGGTGGCTTTTAAGAGAAATACAATACGCATGCTTTTAAAGAAAACTTTAAAAAATACATAGAAAAAAAGAAAATTAGCTTATAATATGTTTTTTGCTATTTTTAATTGCAGAGATACTCAGTCACCTGTTTGTTTTTATAAATCCAACTTGGTATACGTCCTGTTTAGGTATACGACCTGTGTTTGGAAGGCGATTCATCTGCGTCAAAATCATTGGATGATGGATGGATGTGAGAAGCTTTGCAGAGAAGCACCAAAGGTCAAACAAGTCGTAATTAGAATTGTTTGGAATGCCACATTTCCCAAATTTCCAAAGGGGGATGGCAGATGTAAAATTTATTGGGACAGAATTCAATGCTCGTGAGAAAAATTTGGAAAATTGCCCCTTTTTCAATTCCTTCTATTAGCTCACACCGTCCCAATATATATCTTGCTGAAATTTTCAATCGTTCATAAAATACTTTTTATTCATCCACTTGAGTTCAAAGACATTTTTTTTGAACTTGTAGGGGATGACACTGGATGTGAATACAGTTTTTCAAATATCAATTTAGTAATTAAATTTAATTCATTCATTTTATTTTTTTTTTTTTAGATTAAGTTGCATTTATCTACCCATAGATGGCGCCAAATTAACTTAAAAAATAACTTTCTGAAAATTTGAATTTAAAAACTTTTTTTTTACATTACTCTCTGATAGATATAAGACCTTCTTAAACTTAAAAGAATGAATGAAAAAAATAGTAGGACTTTCTTACGATATTTAAATTTTTTTTCTCCATAATACTTGTTAATTGCAGAGATACTCAATCACCTCGGTGCATGTTTGTTTTTACGAGTCCAACTTGGTATTGGTCCCACTTAGGTATATGACCTTTGTTTGAAAGTCTATTCGTCTGCGTCAAAATCATTGGATAATGGATGGATATGAAAAGCTTTACAGAGAAGTATCAGACGCTGAACAAGCCTATCTTTAAACAAATAGATATACGCATTCTTAAGAACTATAAATTGTAGAAAAGTAATTGTAGTATTTACCACATTAATTAAAAAAGTAGTTAATCTTTAAACAAAAAAAAGTTAAATTTAAAATAATAATAATAAAACCAAATCCCCCTCCTCCCACTAAAGTGTGCACAAGATGACCGTAGAGCGACAAATTTACTTTACTTCATCATCTATCAAATCGTTTATGTCAACTTCGATTTTACTTCAAATCGTTTACGTCAATTTCAATGTTGTTTTTTCATTCTAATGCAGCTGGCAAACACTTAGACAGCTTGATCTTGGAGGACTTTAAGGCAAGCGCTGCACAGACGTTACTAACTTTGCATGACCCAGCAGGCGCGTGTAACTTGAAGATAAGCCACGGACGCGAAGTAACAATGCCCCTGCAACTCTCTACGATCCTATTAGACCGGGACCTACAGTTTAAAGTGGATTTCGAACCACTACAAACATCCATGGCACCGCCGGGACTCAAATCCGAAACCTGTGGTACCGAGCGCCAGAGCGCTAACCACTCGGCTATTCAGGCCCCATTTCAATGTATATTGAATAAAGAAAACGGCGGCTCAAATCAATACATTCCTGCGCGATAATAAAATTGACACTGATAAGAGAAACACCGATCGATTGACATACTAAATATTTAACAAGGAACAATTGAGCCCAAGTGGGAAGAACTGTTAAATAGAACACTTGCACATATTTCACTTATTTATGAGTTTAGGAGGAAGGGGCTTCAACCCTGCTAGCCAACCTCAGGTTAGGTACCTGTAAATATATAAATATAATATGCTATATTACATTTCGTTATATCATAGTAGTTGGGGTAAAATTTTTAAATATTTTTCTCATAGGGGTACGAGATCCAGAAAGTATAGAGATTTTTGGATCTTTGGATCCTTGAATCCATGGATTTATTACTAGCCAGGATCCTATGGTTCCCTTGGTTGTCCATGGCTAGTGCTAGCAGTTCGTGATCTCAGCCGGGCTGTTTTCATTGACCTCAAATTGAAACTAGAATTTCAGACACGAATGTATGTAATAAATTATAATGGTCATAGTTTTATCGGGAATTATTATTATTTTTTTTTCTCCAATGCAGCTGGCAAACACTTAGACAGCTTGGTCTTGGATGCCTTAAGGCAAGCGCTGTACAGACGTTACTCACTTTGCATTACCCAAGCGGCGCGTGTAACTTGAACATAAGCCACGGACGCGGAGTAACAATGCCCCCGCAACGCTCTAAGATCCTATTAGGACCGGGACCTACGGATTAAAGTGGATTCCGAACCACTACAAACACCCATGTCACAGCCGGGACTCGAACCCGAAACCTGTGGTATCGAGCGCCAGAGCGCTAGCGTTACATTTTTTAATTTCTAATCCACCAGCGAATCCTTGTTAAAAATTTTGAAATTCATAATAACTGAAGTTGATGTTCGTCGAATTATATCTTCCATGGTATTTTAATTACTTTTACATATACTTACGGTTATTTAATTTTTATCAATGGGAAGTTTTCCGCACCCGTTTTTTAAATCATATACACCCCTTTGGGGATCTCGACCCCCACTGTTTCATATTCACTGCCCTTAACCTACAGGTTGTAAGGAAGAACTCGTTCGAAACCCTGCTTTTGTTCATCCCGTGTTTAAGAATGGAAACTTTTATAGGCTGGAAGCTTTTCCTGATAGTGCAAAGGAATTGTGTTGTTTGTTGTTGTTTCTTATCCCACTTGGTTGGCCAAACCCACGAGCCCATACGTACTCATGATTGAAGGGGAAGGAAGCAGCTTCTATTGTGATGGAACACCCGTAGGTAGAAGTCTGACTTTGGCTCCGTGACGCTCTTGCAGTCATAGGAGACCGGGACCTACGGCTTAAAGTGGATTCCGAACCACTACAAACATCCATGGCACCGCCGGGATTCGAACCCGAAACCTGTGGCACCGAGCGCCAGAGCGCTAGACACTCGGCCATTCAGGTCCCAAATTTGTGAATGTCAACGGCACGCGGTGTTCCCAGGTGGTCACCCACCCAAGTACTGACCGCGCCCAATGATGCTTGACTTCGGTGATCTAACGAGAACCGGTATATTCAGCATGGCATGACCGTTGGCTCAAAGGAATTGTTGTTTAGAAATGCCGTCTCGTTTGATTTTCGTAAATCCATCCCTGAAATTACACATACGTAGCAGATTCAACTTTATTCAGTGTGTCGCAGGAAGAAGCTGCCATAATATCTCTATGGAGCTTTATAGATATCTTATGGCAGCTCGTGGATCGGTGTAGGATCGAGCTCCCCGGAGATAAACTCAACATGTTATCCCTCCTTCCTTCGCATTCTCTTCACCGAGTCATTCTTCATCCGGTCTACTGATTTATGGTTGGTCATCTGGGTTTGTCAACCTGGTTTGTCATTCCCTCAACTTAGGTTGGATTTCATTTGCTGTTCCACAAATTGAAAAGGACTGAACCGTTCTCCTCGACATTTTCAACAGTACCCAGCTGAAGAACTTTTCAACACACAAATTTATCGAGTTATTTCAATCCTTGCCATTAAGAGGAGACATTTGACAGCAGAACTTTCGTTTCAGGTACCTCAGTTCTACCTAAGATTCTATATATGCACCCTAGTATAATAGCTTGGAAACCTAGGCAACTCCAGCCCAATTGTACGAATCCTGCCCTGAGGACGCTTCAGAGGTTGTTTGTCCTAAATTGTGGAGGTATATAAACAGGGTGCAGTATAGTAAGTCCTCAATGGACAAATCTGTTACATGTGTACTGCTCCAGTGGCCAAGTATCTGGCATTTGGAAACATTATTAAGCGTAATAATATTTTTTTTCATAAAAATCTAAAGGCCATTTCATCTAAAGGTGGGTGTCACGAGCGTGTTTGTACAGTGACTTTTATTTGTTGATTATTGTTGAAAAAGCTGACGTTGAAAGCGTGATGTTTTTGCAGTTTTATCCGAAGGAATGCCTCCCTATCTGGAAACAAAGTTCAAACAAGGGTTATCTCAGAGGCACGACATAATCGGCAATATTTACCTTTTCGATTAGATATCAGAAATGACACTTTTGCACAATGATGATGTTGTTGTAATACATGTGATCCCGTCCTGTTCCTTGAACACGAAATGACAGAAGTGGCCCCTCAAAATTCGTGTATTTATCTATTGAAATAAGTTCCTTTTTTCACATTTTGGATAGAATAGGAAATATTCTATTCTATATTGTATATTCTATTCTATAATATATATTCTGAATATTCTATTGTATAAGATTTTTTCTTTTATTTATTGATATTCTTCTTCTATAACGAAAACTTTAGAGGAGTATTGGGCCAATTTTTTTTTAAAGATAGTATTGCTCAAAACATGTAAAAGTAAGAATCAATCGATTTTCGATCAAGTTGAAAACATGTTACACTTTGTATAAAATCAGGATAATGGATATTTTGGTTTATCCTGATACATAGAGCAATTTTCCTAATGGTAATGGTGTACAGGTTTAGCATATGATGTTATATATTTTTGGTTCTAGCGAGGAAGTTGTCACGAAACTCCTTGAAAAGTATACAGGAGGAAATGAAGCTTCCCGCTCATCTGTTCCGTACTTTTCAGCTATGAGGGATAAAATCAGAGCCGGAGTAGGTGAAGAAGTCGGTTTAAAAATCCGATTCTAGACACATTCATAAAAATTGTTTTTATTTTTAAAATTCTAGGAATTAATGTTAAGCTGGCCATTCAATTGTATCTTTTAATAATACAACCACTAGGAAAGACAGTTTATACTTTAGCAGCAAACCAAGCAGGTGTTGAGAGACTTTTCTCAGCACTGAGGTTTCTAAAAAGCTGTCTTGAATCCACAATGACAAAAGTTGTTCTATAATTAAGAAGGGAGGGGAAAACAATCTCTCTAGTAAATAAATTTTTTACTTGAATTCAACTATTCTATAATTCTTTGTAATATTTCATTTAATATTGTTACCACTGAATGACAAGTCGGGCAGAACATAGTCTATCATGGAAGAAAATCTGCCAATTCATGGTGACTCTTCATGAAGAATTTCTATAATTTCTACCAATTCAAGGAAAACATTAGTAAGGATTTCATCAGCAGATTCAGACTATCAACAACAAACGCTTATCAACGATATCAATTAGTGTACTAGCTAATTGTTATGATACAAGAGGGACCTATTCTTATGTAGCTCTTAAAATTCACGCAAGAAGTAGCGCTTTTAATAAAAGCGTGAATTTTGGGACTCTCACAGCCTTGGAGGATAAATGATGAGCATATTAATATTTCATATTTCGAATTGTGCTGTTCAGATTGAATGACATAAAGCAAGAGAAAGTGGTGTAGCATTATTTCACAGTACAACTGATAAAACTAACATCGTAAATACAAACAGAGAACTGGATGCTGAGCCAATGGAATCAATTTCCATTGGTGCCTCAACTGCTGGAGAACTGTTTACGGCAGTGAGCACAGCAATTTACGTCTCCGCAAATCGGAATATTCCAAACATTATCGAATCCTTTTACCGCCAGTGGCTAAGTTATACATCAGTAGACGCTACATATGAAGAACTCGACTCGTGGCTCAGTAGCAAGCGTGCGTCGTCGGAGAGCATGAGGGCTGAGATTCCATCCGCTGGCGGCTTTGTTGTAGACACAGTCGGACTACCAGGTGGGAGTTTTCCGAGTTTTCTCCCAAACGATATGCAAATGCGGGGTTATTCTCCCTAAAAGTCCCCCCGGAAAGAACTGCTCTCCTTCTCCAGCGACATGGAGCCAAGTCAGACTTCTACCTACAGGTGCTCCATTACAACAGAAGCTGCCCCCTCCTTCCATGAGAACACCCGGGTTCATGGACTTGGTCTAGATGAGTAGATCCATCCCCTACATCCATGAGTAGATTACTCATTGGATGTCCATCCCGTGCTGCAGGACATTGAAGATTAGACACGCACAATAACAACAACAATTATTAATATGGAGGGGAGAAGTAGATACAAACAAATATCATTTATTATCTACCAGGCAAAGTAATAATGAAGTACCGTATGTTTTTAAACGATTATTTGAACACTCCTCCGTTGCCACGCGTCTAGAGAAAGTTCAAGAAGAACATTTCTGTTTAGTGTCAAGTGACATAAAAGTGAATCTTACATACAGAACTTGGAGAAGAGCTACGTCGAATTCCTTATATTCTACAGGGCAATTTCAGGTTGGTAATTTCAGGTCAACTACAGGTTTTCTTCACGTGGCAAACAATTGATTCAGTTATTTAGAGAAGAAATTATAATTGAAAATGAGTTATTCGCCATTTTCATACTTTAGTTATCATAAGCCGATTATTTATTTTCTGAGCGTTGAAAATAGAGATTCAGCACTTCATACTCTAATATAAAATAGTCTAATAAATTATTTCTATCTCTTCATTAAAAACTGTCGATGAATACCTGCAAATCCACTTTCCACATAAAAATTAACTGCATATTATTCATTTTAAATATTTTTATACCATTTTCTGAATTTCATTAAGATTTAGTTGGCATGCATGTAGTAGTTCATTGTGTTTCAAATTTCTTGAAAGGAAAGGCGGTTGAATGATTTCTGAAGATCTGCATCATTTTTAAGCAAACAATCCTCCTGAGTGGACTGAGTGCGTCTTTCTTCGTACCTACTCATCTCTACAAGTAAGGGGCGGACCACGAATTCTCGTCGCTGTTGAAATGGTTATTTGTGTTTATTTGAAGAAGAGACGCTCTTCCCCTCTGCAATCCCTACTTCCCTATCGATGTCATCACACTACAAATGCCAAGGAGTGGAAGTCAATTGACCGGCGGAAAAGTACAAACGATTGTAATCTGTTCCAGCACGTGCCGTTGACGGACGAGAACAAGGTGTGTCGGGGTGGCCCCATGCCGCCCTTGTTTACCATACAAGATACCCCCCGCGTCGAGTTGGAGGGGGCTCAATCGGTTTTTAACCCTTCGGCACGTCCCCCTGACGACGCAAGCCCTGACTTGAAGAGGGGACAGCGAGATAAGTCAAGTCTTGAAGGAGCGATCTCGCTGGCTTCAAGCCCAATGGTAGAGAGCAACAGAAAATTTGCAAAGAGCACAGATGCGAGGCCAAATGCTGAGATGAATGAAATGAAAAGATTAATTTTTCTAATATAATTTCAGGCGGCCTGATGGCCTATTCTCTATCGCTCTGGCCTTTGCTACCACAGGCTTCAGGTTCGAATCCTGGCGGTGGCATGGATGTTTGTGGATGGTTCGAAATCCACGTTAAACTGTTATAAATATTAATATTTGCATTACATTATATGTGTGTTATTGTATACTGATTTTTACATTGTTATATACTGATTATAAAAAAAAAAAGGAAAATATTTAAAAATTAAAAAAAAATTGTCTCCTGTTAATCCCAAAGTCTCCTTATCCCAAAACTATTTCAAAGACGGGGAAAAAAAAAGTAAATCAATTTTTTCGTTCCGACTCCATTGATGAAAGCGGCCTGATGGCCAACTGACTAGCTCTCTGACCTTCGGTACCACAGGCTTCAGGTTCGAATCCTGGGGGTGGCATTGATGTTTGTGAGGTGATTACGTAGATTAGTTTGGTTTGTCGCTCTACGGTCATCTTGTCCACACGAGGGCTAAACAGACGGGGACCTACAGTTTAAAGTGGATTCAGAACCACTCACAAACATCCATGGTGTCAGAAAATTTAGCTGAGTGCCGCGGTGTAGAGTATAGCAGAAGCAAACACTATTACACTTTAATAAATTTAAGAAAGTAAATTTTATTATACATAAATGTAAAAAGTAAAACTTTACAAAAACCCTACTTTTGGTTTTTAACTTAATTATGATCAAATCATGTTACCTGCTGCCAGCAATACTTGATTTACATATCGATTTATACATCCGTGCCCAACTTCACGACCCATTATATGCTTCAGCATATGACGTCGGACTGGGATGTAAAACGTAATAGAAATATCTGCATGATTCCCAATACTTTGACAACACATGCACAGCCAGGACTTGAGACCAAAACCTGTGGTACGGAGTCCCAGAGCACTAGCCACTTG